CCCTAAACCCTAAACCCCTAAACCATAAACCCCTAGACCCTAAAACCCTAAACCCCTAAACCCTAAACCCTAAAACCTAAATCCTAACCAAGCGCCACACCAGGGAGGTCCGGGAGGTCAGCCTCCTTTGCCTGCGAGTCCCGAGCACTTCGATCTTCAAGGCTTGGGTGTGCCGTAACTGGGTTCACTTTGTAAGGGTTTAGGGTTTAGGGTTTAGGGTTTTTTTCGGTTTGGGGTTTGGGGTTTGGGGTTTAGGGTGGATTTAATTTTATGTCAAACCATAACAGGGAAACCCTTTTCTTTACTGTAGATCCCTATTATGGTCACTCAAATTAAATCCCAGTTGAAGCTCGCCCCATGGCACCGAAATACACCTACCTCGCGGAGAAGGCCCGACTGCTTCCTACATGGGTCCAAGGATTGAGTGTAAGGGGCGCGGTCACGTGAAAGGGGCCCAGATTCTAGATGAAGGATAATAGCTTTAGTAGAAGCCAGCAGCCGAAAAGAAAATAAAGAAAAAAATGAAAAAACATATAGACCAAACCATGACAGCCCCCATAAGCCTCAGAAGCCAAGAATCCAGAACGACAAGAAGCCAGAAAGCAAAACGCACAGAAAGACAAGAAGCCGGAAAGCCAAGAAGCCAGGAACCAGAAAGCCAAGACGCCGAAGCCAGGAAGCCAGCAAGCCAAAAGAAAAAAAAAACATCTGAAACAACACCTACGACATCGGCACTCCATTGCGACTTCCATCATTCAACATGTTCCACCTCTCCTTCCATCTTCTCCACTCTCCAGGCTCGTTAACTGCACCTATGTATCCACAGTCACCATCGTCCGCCTTGAGCCTTTGACCAACTTGCACGGTGCACTCCGCTTCCTCAAGGCCGGGTGCAGACTGATTTCAACTTTTGGGAAATGCCGCTAATACTACCCGTTACTACCCAGTACATTGCCAACTCCCGCTGCCATGCGCTGCCCTTGCCGTCAACTCTGTGCTGTGTGCGGGCACGAGGCTGGAAGTCCTCCAGCAACCCTCCGTGTGCTACCCGATGCCCTCGATGTCTTATGTGCTGGTCCGCCATGAAAACCCCGCATGGTCCGCAGCTTAAGTGCCTGGACTTTGTTCAGGGTCAGCTGCTGCAGCTGCGGCTGCAGAGAAGCAGCTTAGCTAGGGCATTCTCTGCTTCTCATGCTCCGGAAAATGAAGGGGTCGAATGAAGGCTCTGGTGCCGAACCTCAAGGATGTCTTGGTATAGCTGAGCTCTATCCGAGACCCTGAACCCAGTTTCACAACGGTTCGTCACCTCCTCTCCACCGAACGACTCACTTCCTCCCGTCGAGCCTGGCTTAGGGTTTGGGGGGCACAAGTTGAGGCAAAGTCGATCGAAGCGGATAAAGGACCTCCAGGCTATCAATACTCCTGCCAGCTGAGTATGGCACGGCTCTCCCGGATTGTAGGATTGACACGTTGCACCTGCCACCCCCCCGCCCACCCCCCCACGCCTTGCAGCACAATGTTTCAACAGCGGCCTCGAGCAAGGAACAAGAAAGCTGCTAGTACAGGCGAAGTTCGAGACCAAAGACATTGCCGGCCGATTGGATCTGACTGCTACCCTGAGAAGCACCCATTCCCCCACCGTCCGTTTGGGCGGCGTGCCGTGGATGTCAACATGTCTCTTGCCAGTGCCATCGCTCGTCAAGCGTGTGATGCTAACCCCCAACTCCCAGTGTGCAGGCCGGTCAGTGAACGCCGGTGAACCGCAAGAGCCGACGGGTTACTGTTGCACAACGACCCTGATCTTCGAGCAGTCCGGTGACAATGAGCTCCGCTCTGCCCGAAGATCAGACTGGTGCTTGAAAGTCTGAGTCTGCCCATCATGTCCCCGAGCACGCCTACAAGCAAGGAAGGCATCCTGCATCCGCGTTCAAAAGTGTTCAAGCGCGAGGGGGGGACTTACGCTTCATGTGCAAGACAGCAAATGAACCCAAGAACAAAAGCAAACCCAGAGGGGACTGCATGTCCTGATGCTTAGCTTAGCAAACAGAAAGGCCTACAACTGCAATGCTGAGGGCAGCACAAGTCCGCTATTGACCGGCATGGGGCCTGGCAGCAGTGGAGCTGTCCGCTTGAAAGGTACTCACGAAAGGAGGGTCGTGTGAGAGTTCAGAATTCAACATCGGTACATCGCTAGTACGGGCAGCTCTTCGACAGAAAACTTCTGAAAGCAGATCAATGGCGTAGTTAGTATCCGGGTGGGCCCCGAGCCTGTCAACTGACACAGGCTTGCAAAATCAAACTGGCAAGGACTTGAACATGCACGCAGATACTCACGCAGACCATAGCCCAAACCAAAGCAACCAGATCGACTCACGGCGCGCTCTGCAAATTACTTATAATTAGCACTGAAACTTTGCACTCGGACTACAAGCGATCAAGGCTTCCCGATAACTACTCATGAAAAGCCAGGATATGAAGAGTAACAAGAACAAAAACACAGAAAGCGAGCGTAGCTCGCTTGATCACCGGTTTCAGGCTATGGTTGGCTGCGGATACGTTTTCTGCTTAGGGTTCAGCTCTACGGTGAATTCGCGGGGGGATGCTGGCTTACGTCCAAGACACTCCGACAAGCAAACCCCACACTACCCGCACACCCTGGCCAAGTACAAAAGTGAGGGTTCACCTTGATTTTGTTATGTTTCTGCGGGGCTGGACTCTGGGCAAGGGTGAGATCTATAGCAGCAGCCATAGGGGCTCTATACCGTTGCAGCGTCAGCGTGCCTGCCTTTTTTCCGCCGCTGATGGACCAGACCCGTGCATATTCGGGGCGCACCCGCACAAGGGCCGAAACAGGCAGAGGCTGCCTACTGTCGTGAAAGCTGACTGTGCCAAGATAAGAAGATGGGACACGGTCAAAAATCTGCAGGATTTGGGAACCAGCAGTGGTTGCATCTACCTCTGGGTGAAACTGTATTGTATACAATTATTAGATCCTGAAAGCATGTTTGGAACATGGAGTTGCGATTCAGAACATCATGGCCGATGACTTGATCCACAGTCTGTTTGCTCAGATCAGAAACCGCGGCTTCCGGGGGAGGGCCGGTCTTTGTGAGGCCAGGAGGCCACGCGGCAATCCGCCGCATGGACCGATGCAGGAGCTGGGAGCGCGCTGGCCTGGGGCTGAGGGATTTGGCCACCTGACGGGTGCAGATTTTGCGGGGAGCTCAGTAGGCTTGGATACTTGGGTGGGCGAGGTGCAGAAGCGTAGGCATGTGGAGGCGGAGGCGGAGAAGCGTAGAAAAGACGGGGATGATTTGTGAGCGGGCGATGGACAGTAGAACAGGGCAAGGCCCAGTGCGGCGCGGGTGGGAGTTGCCGAAACGCAGCGGGGTGCAGTTGCGCAGGCCGGGGCTGGTATGCGCGAAGCCGAGGCTGCTGCTGCTGCTGCTGCTGTGGGGGAGGATGTGGGTGCGGACTCCGGCGATCATTCGGCTGCCCGGAATGACTGGCCGAGTTGATGGGACTTGGGTGGTCTAAGAGGCCTTGTACTACATACCCCATGCTCTACCAAAGCTACAAGAGACCTTACCCGGTAACTGTGTATAGTTGCATGGCATACTTATCTCGGCGCCTCCTTAAGGTCCTGGATACCACAACTGCCAAGTCCCACGAGCTTTGCTGCAGAATTCGGAAATGGTCGACGTCCTTTGCAGGACCAAGAGCAGACGCATCTTGTATAACCATCCTTACCATCGATAGTCTTATATGCTGCGTGATCATTACCATGCCCCAAAAGGGACTACTGTGGGGTTCAATCGTTCAGAGCCAAGAGAATTTCTTGGCGGATCTTAGCTGCGGCACACACGGGAACTGTTTTGCAGTCGCATCCTGATTTACAGAGGATCCTCTGGTCTCCCAGTGAGATTCATTGTCAGTGTCAATAGATGAGCCACTTTTTGGCCTGGACAACCTTCAGTCCCGTCGACAGTGTTTCAGGATTTCGGGCGCCTGCTGGACCCACCAGCACATTGGGGTAAGCATAAGCAAAAGCAGCGTGCTGAAACCGCACCAGTACCTAGCATGGAATAGAAGAGGAGCTGCGACAACCACCAAAAGCTTGAAAATGAAACACATACAATAAGCCTACAATACCGCCCAAGACCAAGACTACACACACTTGTAACCTCAAGAAATCATGACACCCCGCTGACGTCCTTCATGTACTTCGGCGGAAAGACGGCTCCACCAACCAGAAGCTCCGCCCTGCTCGGAAGCATCCTCCGAAAGGGCGGCACCTCAAAGACATCCGTCCAACGAGGATGCTGTCTCTGCTACTACTGTTGTACTACTCCTACCCCTACTACTCCTACTGCTACTGCTACTACTACTACTACTACTACTACTACTACTAAAACAGGGTCACGTTCGCGGGACGGACTCTGGCTTCACCATGTTGCCATCACCCCCATCCTCATCCTCATCATCACCATTAGCCTCAAAATAACCATCGGCCTAGGCCTCGGTGCACTGTCCCAAAACACTAGACCATGGGCATCATCAGGTTTGCGTCTGGATGCTGGAAATTGCACGCGCTCGGCGATGGATGTTGTCATGATGGTTTGGGCATGGATGAGTTCGGGATCGGATACTGTCGGTGATGGACTTCATCATGGTTTCGGCATGGATAAGCTCATAGCTGCATTCACTCCACGATGGACTGAGCAACACTTAACCAAATCAGCCGATCTTCGGAGCGAAGGGGTTGTTTTTTCCAAGGAAGACGCCCACATTTGCTCAACATCGCGCGTCGAGCAAAGTGCTTTTCCGCGTCGCCCAACCCAAACCCTTCCATTCCATTCGCAGAAATGCAGTGCTGGTCAGTGATTTTCATTCTCCCCAGTGCAGCAAGCCGCTTAAGGTGCGAAAGCTGGAAACAACAACAGCACCAACAAAAGCTGCAGCAACCAATAAAAACTAAAGATAGGCAAGCAGGGTGAAGACCGCACAGCACCGAACACGACACTACCAAAGTATTATACCATTGTAATTATTCTACACTGAACCGTACCGAACCGCAACACCCATTTGTTACCTCTGTCGTCATGATATCACATCCCGAAAAAGGGAACTCCCGCAGCAGTAGCCACGAATTTTCGCAACGTTCCTTTTACCGAGACATTCGTGTCAACATTGTTTTGCCCATAGCTGCCAAAGAAATGCAGAGAACAGGAGCTAGCGATTGCTACGGGTACGTAAGTAAGCTTCAGCTCACAGCAACACGTGCAGCATGGCAAATCTTAACTTTCCACGATGTGCTGTAGGTGCAATCGCTGGTAATCGGCTGCGTTTTTTCAACCGTAGTCACTAGTCACTGGTCCGAGCTCCGTCCGAAGAGCTGCCGGATCCGATTTGAATGCAGAAACTTTGTGTGGGCTGCAATGCGACAGATTCTGAAACACGGGTGCTGCACCAGCGATGCAGAGAATTGTCGACATCATTCCCGCATCACTCGTGGACAACGCAATATCGACGGCTTGATTTCCGCAGTCCGGGCACATGCTTCGCGAGAGAGTCTTGAGAGAACCCCCCCCTTCCCCGAACCTCTCTGTCTTTCGGATTTCTGCTTCGTTCCCTCGCTGCCTTGGCGAATATTTTGGGTGTCCCATTCTTGTCTCAATGGTTCAAAGCTCGCAAAGCCTGACCCAAGCCAAATCATCGGGTTTCGAGACCAGTGTCGCAGCGAAAGGAACGAAAAGGGAGTACTGTCTGGGAATTCACACAGGGTGAACGCTTTCAATTGCAAACACCAAAACAGCCAAGGCACCTCAGGAGCCATCATGTTGACCTTCGGCGCCGTCAGCTGCCAGTGGTACGGAGACAAGTGCCGGGCGAGCGCCTGCGGGTCGAAGCGAGGCGAAGGCATCTCTGTCCGGCGAGGCAGCCCGAGCGTGTCCACAGCCACAATGCCCTTCACGCGAAAGCCGGCAGACTCAAGGCACTGTGCAAGGCTGTGACCGATCACACCCCCGTGGCTATGTCCGACAATGACGAGGTTTAGAAGTACCTCTCGGCCCTGCAATGCTTGCGATGGGAGCAGTGGAAGAAGATTTCGGATCATCAAGACGAAGGGCACCTGAGCTTGCCTCAGCGTCTCCTCCAGAGGAGAAATCACCAGGCAGTTGGCTTCGACTGCTTCTTCTATGTCCGGCTGAAACACACTCCGCACAGCTCCTTCCAGGCGCAGCACGCAAGCTGCACTGGGCGAGGGCGAGGGTGAAAGAGGCATGCTCATCATGCGTAAGGGAGGAGCCGCACTCCGAAGCACGGGGTCCTTCTTTCGGGCGACCTGGACCGGGGGCAGGGAACGCGAAAGAGCAAGCTCCGGAAATCGCATGCAGGTTACGGAAGGCTTTGCATGCTCCGAACTCGACTTCTGGCCAGGATGCGCAAGCACAGGCGCAAGCACGTATTGGTGATGCACACCGATGAAACCTTCAAACCTTCGTTGTTTCCGCTCGTCATTGGCTGCGGGTGCTACAGAAGGAAGGATTCTATGGACGGAGGCGAAAGATGGGCGAAGCCAACCCGAAACCTGGACGATGGCCCTGCCTTTGGTCACTCCAGCCATGCACGCACCACGGACGTGTCTTGCAGAGTACCCTGGCGCGGTAAACGCAAACCTCACGGCACGGCTGTAAGGCACGGCGTCCGCAATGGCTAAGTCCAACAGGGAAGGCGTGCATTCCTGCCTAGAAAAAGACACATGTTGCGACTGCATGCTCTGCAACAAACTGTGTCCGCATCTGCACTGGGCGGCAAAGCTCACCGGCGCTGCGACTGGTCCAAATGAAGCTGCAGCGGGACGCATTGCATGGGCCGCAGGTGAAGGCGAGCGAATCCAGCTCGACACTGGCACGATGGCTCTGATTGCGGTCAGGAGCCTGGACATGCAGCTCAGATGCCCGAGGTGTCTTGCGAAGCACCCTGCTGCAGTAAGATCCAAGAGAGAGACTAGCCTAGAAAACGACCAATGCCGCGATCGCACAATTCTGAAGTCTCCTTGCAACAAACTGTTTCCGTATCTACACTGCAATGAACAGCACACCGGCATTGCCACCGGTCGAATCGCCGCAAAATGAGGGTTTGCAGGAGTCGAAGAGAGAGGTGGGCGAATCCAGCCCGAAACTTGGATGACGGCTCTGCGTGGCAGCCCAGCCATGCAGCCTACATCACGGACATGTACAGCTAAGGATTCTGATGCGGCACACCTACCCCTCACAACACCGATGCCGCAAAGGGAAACTGCACTTGCCTGACGGCGAAGCCCAAGCAGCCTGGACCGCATACTCCGGAAACGATTGTGCAACATCGGTTCTTGGGATGCACTCTGACAAGCACGCTTCACCGGTGCTGTGCTCGTTCGAAGTGACGAAGCTGCAGAGCGAGAGATAGCTCGCGGCCCAGACAGAGGTGAGCGAACCGAAACTTGGACGATGGCTCCGCTTTGAATCTCCACGGTTTCGTTTTCAGGCCGAGGAAAGCACGTCTTTCCATTGCTTGCCCGTTTCGTTGGCCATACAAACTGTAAGGACATGGCTCCCCGGTGGGTCAGCTCCCTAGCCAAACAGCACGCATCACTGATGTGGTTTGCAGGCGACCCTATAAATTTGCCAGGCACGACATCGATGCCGAAAGCTGAACATGCTTGATCGAGAATCCCAAGCAGCCTGAATCGCATGCTCCGGAAGTGTTTTCGCAAGACAAGCTCTGCGGACGTGCACTGAGAAGCATGGTGCGCCGCTGCTGTGGCTGGTCGAAGTGACAAGGCTGCAAAGTGCGGGATTGCATGTGCCCCAGAGAGAGGTGAGCGCATGCAGCCCGAAATTCGTAGGACGGCTTTTCTTGTGGCCAACAGCCCAGCCATGCCGTGTGCATCGCGGATGTGTTTTGCAGACGACCCTGCCCCGGTAAAGGTAAATGTTGCAACAGTGCAAGGTGAAAGGTCGATGCCGACAGCTGCACTCGCCTGACTGAGAAGCCCAAGCAGGCTGGATCGCATCCTTCGGAGGTCTTCTTGCAAGACGCGCTCTTGGGATGAACACCGACACGCAGGGTGCACCTGCGCTGCACCCGCTCGAAGTGAACAAGGCGTATAAGGAGGGATTGCATGAGGCACAGAGAGAGGTGAGCAAATCCAGCCCGAAACTTGGACGATTGCTTTTCTTGTGATCAGCAGCCCAGCCATGCAGCATGCATTACGGATGGGTGTTTTGCAGAAGACCCTGCTGCGGCAAAGGTCACCGTCACAACAAAATTGCAAGGTAAAGGGTCGATGCCGAAGGCTGCGCTTGGCTAATTGAGAAGAGCAAGCAGCCTGCACCACGTATTGCCAGACAGGTTGTTGAGATGCGCACTGAGAAGCATGGAGGACGGGTGCGGTGCCCGCAGGAAGAGAAGCCGCAAAGGGAGCACTTGCCCGGGCCGGGGCGAGAGGTGAGCAAATCCAGCTCGACAAGCCAGCCATGCAGCTCAGAAATAAAAAAATGCCACGACCACCCACTTTGAAGTATCCTTGCAACCAACTTTTCCTGTATCTGCACTGGAAAGACAAGCACACCTCTGCCGCACCCGGTCGAAGTGAACAAGGTGTAGAAGGATGGATTGCCTGAGTCACAGCGGGACGTGAGTGAATCCAACCCGAAACCTGAACGATGGCTCTGTCTTTGGTCAGTCGAACGTCCATGCAGCTCGCATTAAGGACGTGACTTGCAGGGTATCTTGCCAAGGGAATGCGAGACTTCGGAGCAGACTTGTACGGCATGGCGTCGGCGATAGCAAGGTCCAATAGGGAATGCGGGCCTTCCGGCCTAGAAAAAGACAAATGCCACGACTGCATGCGTGTGAAGCGTCCTTGCAACAAGCTTTCTCCGCATCTGCAGCACTGCAAGGAAGGGCACACCCGTGCTACGCCTCGTCGACATGAAGAAGCTGCAGAGAGAGGGATTGCACGGGCGATTGGTGGGCGAATCCCGACCGAAAATTGGAGGACTCCGCTCGTGCTGCGCAGCATATGCATCGTTCTCCGCCGGCCCCTTCTTTCACGGCGGCTCAAATCGCAAACCTCCCTTTCGGCGATACCAGCTACACAGGAGGTAAGCATCACAGAGACTTGCTCTGATAAGACTGCCGAAAGCGCAACGCTCCGTGGTATCAGAAGTTCCACATGTACACTGGCAGTTCCATCAGCAAAGCTTTCCTGCATACATCTTTGCGGCACTCGCGTCTTCATCTGAGCCATCTGAGCGATGCCGGCACATAGGTTAAGCTTCCGATGTACCAGCTCTGCCAGCATGGGCGACGTCCTCACGGAAAACGGGAGCTCCAGATCCGCCTCCACCATGCCGCATAACGCGCGGGGTTTCCTGCTCTACCCATGCAAGACCCAAGAAGTTCCACGAAGTACAAAGATCCTCGGGGTTTGGGGTTTAGGGTTTNNTAAGGTTTAGGGTTTAGGGCGAAACCTTATGCTTTGCGCCCATGTGTTCCAGGACTCGAGGGCTCCAGAAACCCAAATCTGAGTCGCCCAGGACCCTGCCCTACTTTGTTTGACAGACAAACAGCTGCGTGCCCAGCGTCGGAGTTGCGAAGATACCTGCTGGGCTCTGTGAAGGCATCCTACCGTATACCCTTTTCAGCACGGACTGAGG